TACACAGCATGATGTGATTGCATTCCAAAGTTAAGCAGTGTAAAAATTAACAGGAGTATCTGTATTGACGTATTTATATAGAACCTTGCATTTTGCTAAGAGTTAGAGATGCTATCTCCTTCAGAGTCTGTCACAACCCCCCCCCCCATAGGCTGTTATTCTTCCCACTTATGGGCTGAGAAGTTGACTCACAGAGAGAAAGGTTATCTTCCTTTGTGGATCAGGCACTGCAGGTTGTCACAGAATCATCTCAACAAACCTCTGGACAGCAGCATGACAGAAAACAATTCATGATGGACACCACTGGCCAGGGCCTAAATATAGCACCATTGTTTTAACTCTTCATTCTTTTAGTGAGGAATCTGGGGCTTGACAGAGAGATGGGCTGTGTGATACCGGAGGAATCATTTGTCCCCTTTCTGCTGGCAGTGAGCAATCTATATTAGGGGATGGTCTGGGTCTGGAGATGTTTATCATTCACTGGCAGGGAATTTGGCACATTTTAAATGTGCCTTCTTTGACATCTTCTGGGATTTGACATCTTCCAAGAGGATTCTTGGAAACCTCCCTTCCCCCATTAAAAAAAAAAAAAAAAGCCTCTTTCTACCTCATTCTTTATCTCATTCAAATGGACCCTGGTCCAAATCAGACATCAGAACCTGTCCATCCCCTTGTGTGCACGAAGCACTTACCTCCAGGCATCCCCGGCCAGCACAAGAAGTTACAAGGGGACTCTAAAGGGCAGACCTGAATTCTAAACCAGACACACAGCCAAATGGCATGATGCACTGACTCAGAATGAGAGGTCAGGGAACAATGACCTCCAGCCTGATCTTCCACAGTTAGGTAACTCTGGATTTATAGGCACCAGTGGTAGAAGGACCCCAGTGGAGGCTCCCCCTTTAGGGCCCTGCCCAACCCAGCAGATTGGTGGATTCACTTCTCCCCATCAGAATGGAAAGAGAAGGCAACTGAATCCTTTCCCCCCAGGGTGAATACTTTTCTCTGAGCTTTGAACCAGGACTGAAGTCCTGGGGTAGAATTTCCAAAACTCTGCGTGGCCTTGTAGATCCATCATCTCTTTGATAAGCATGGCCATCTCTCAGCAAAGACCACTTGCTCTCTGCCCCTGATAGCAGCATTTTATTCATGTTTCCACTTGAAACCATTTTCTTTTCACTTGAAAAGAAAAGAAAAAAAAAATCAAGACAGAGACAGAGACAGAAATGAATTTGTCCATAAAACAGCTGTCATTAAGTATCTACAATGTATCATATATATTGATGTACTTGATCTAATTATGGCAAGAGCCCTATATTGATAATTACTAGTATTATCCTCATTTTTCAGTTAAGCAAACTTTAGAAAAAAGAATTTGAGTACAATATTTAAAGTTAGAAATCTTAAAAACAAACAGCAGAACCTAAACTTGAACCCACAACTTCCAGATTCCCAGGAGCACCCATTTCACTTGCTGCCCTCTCTTTCCCAAATCCTGCTTCCGGGATACTTCCTAGTGAGTCAGAGACTCTCCTCAACACGCCTCAGAACAGGTGAAGGGCAGAACCTTAAAAAAGCTGTTGATGCCATTGTCTGCGGCAGAAAGGACACCGCCGTCTTCTCATCCATTCGCTCAGACAGTGTTGAGCTGAAGAGCAAAAGCCCAGGTCAAAAAGAGGGATGCAAACTGAGCTGAGCTGTCACTAGCTGTGTGACTCTGGGCTGTTACTTACCACTCACCCTCACTCCTTTGAAAGGGTGGTGGTGATAGAAATACAGTGTACAGTTTTAGGCCTTTGTGAGGCTCAAGCAAGGTAATGCATGTAAAGTGCTGAGCACCTGGGAGTCCTCAGAGCTTCTCTTCCTCAGAGGCTCAGATTTCATCCAAATGTTTGACATGCTATCTTGATAAATTATGTAGACCAATGCTTCTGAACTGGGCTGGTATCAGAATTACCTGCCTAATGTACAAATGCCCCACCCTAAGAGATTTTTATTTAGGAGGACTAAGGTCTTCCTTTCTCTCACCCCCTTTCTCTCTCTCTCTCTCTCTCTTTCTTATACTGGGGATTGAACCCATGGCCTTCACACCGAGCTATATCCTCAGCCCTTAAATTTTTTTTCTTTTTATTTTGAGACAGGGTCTAACTATTTCACTAAATTGCCCAGATTGGGCTTGAACTTGTGATCCTCCTGCCTCAGTCTCTCAGTAGTGCTGGGATTATAGGTGTGCACCACAACCAGCTTCCACTTTATCTTTACCACATTCCTAGGTAATTTGGATACAGTTAGGGAACCAGTGTACTAGAGTGAACATCTCAGTCACAGAGGAGCAGGACCCTGGCTGTTTTCTCTCCAAGTCCTATTCTCCACTCTCTTGTCACCCATGTCTTGCAGGTCATATGCACTACTTTGCAAGTGCTCTTGCCAAGTTCAGGTCTTTGTAGTTTAGTAGTGAGTCAGCAGCACTCAGAGTCCCATGGGGCTTGCCTTTACACAGGCCTGGGAGCCCAACATGGGCAGAAAAACAGGGTGCTAGGGTTCTGCTCTGGAGTTGCCCTCTTTTGGTTCACTGGTGACTAACAGCCAGGAGTGTCCAACCTTCACTTTGCACATGGCCAACAGATAGTCATGGAAACCAAAGTTGCTGACTTGAACTCTACTTTCTTAGGATTGTATCCCTGGCTCTTGACAGCCAGAGTAGGTGGCAAGAGCTGGGGAGCAGAAGCAGAGGATGTGGGAGAATCTTGATAACTGTGCTTTCCTAGTGACACCTCATTTTCAGCAATGATAGAGAACAAAATCCAGGTCCCCCTTGAGGTAATGCCCTCTGTTTTCTGCCCTACCCTTATCCCAGTGGCACTGTGTAGCCTTCCTTTTCTGGCCTTGTTGCTATCCCTTGAGTGCTCCAACTCTGTTTCTGCCTCAGTGTTTGCACTCCTCTCATGGCTTCTGCCACGGATGACCACAAGTGTGTTTCCTTTTCATTCAGGCCTCGGTTTCCATGTCAGCTGCTCCGTCATCATACCTAAAGTGTTACTTGGGGCAGGAAGAAGCGTCATCCTATAGCACATCATTTGAGTTTTCACTTTAGCACGCAACACTACAGAGTGCGTTTTCCTTGCTTGTTTTCACCTGATGTGTTGCCTGTTATCCTACTATAGAATATAAACTTTGAAAAAGCACAGTTTAGTTTATTTTTGCTGTTATTTGGTGGTTTTTGTTTGTGTTTGTTTCTTTGTTTTGAAACAGTGTCTTGCTCTGTAGTTGAGGCTGGGCTTGAACTCACTATATAGTCCAGGCTAGCCTGGAACTTGTGGCAATCCTCCTGCCTCAGCCTCCCAAGTGTTGGGATTAAAGGCATGTGACATTACATCTGGCCCTACCTGTTTTGTATATTGTTATGTCCTCATTGTGTGAGAAGTGCTCAGGAATTCTGGAATAAATGAGATTGCCCCAGTAGGAGTGGTGATTTATTTTGATCATAGGATAGCTAAGGTCTGAGAAGAGAAGTGACTATCCCAAATATAATTCAAGCCTTTCGTCTTTTTTTTTTCTTCCAGGCCCTTCCTGTAAAATCTGGCTGACACACAAACCTAGCTGGGGTGAGGCTCCCAGGTGTGATGAAAACTTGGAGCTGCCCATGAATGGGGCTAGGGCTGATGTGGGGGTGAAGAGGCAGAGGACAGAGCATGGGCAGGGAGAGGCAGGCCGAGGCAGGAGAGCAGGGTGTGCACATGGGCTGGGGGAGGCGGGTGATTTGGCCATGTGTCAGGAGGTGTCTCCCTCCACCCTCCCCTGAGGAGAACCCTGACCCCTAGATGGCTTTGCTTTTGGGAAGTAGGTGGTCAGGTAGCTGCTGAGAGAGAATGCAGGTGTGGCCTGGGCGGTGACCATCCGCTGAGGTTCTAGGCCCGATACTGATTACCCAAAGGAATAATTCCATGGTGGCTAATGGCCAAATAGGTGACAGGTGAGCTTCCGTCTGAAACCAACCCAACTATAGTATGGCACAGAGCTCCAGCCGCATGGCCCAGAGGGCTGGGGAAGGGAAAGAAAGAGACCTCTAAGGAGACAGAATGGTCAAGGTTGAATGCTTAGGGACAGCAATAACAACAACAGATCACATTTATTTGTGAGCTTATAATACACCCAGTACTGTACTAACTGCCTTATATGTGTTCCCTCATTCAATCCTCAAAAATCTCTCTACAAAAGAGGCATTATTATCACTATTACTCTCATTTAAGAGATGTGAAAACAGGTTCCATAAGCTCGAGTATCCTATCCCAGGGCTTGTAGTGATTCTGGTGCACTGTGGACGCCTATGCCTGCTGGGCCACGTGTGTGGAGGGCAGAGCCAGACTGACCCCTGCGAAGGTGGAGGTGGGGAGAAAACGGGATAGAATGTATATAAATAGCAGACCTGTTTTTATCCCTACACACGGCTGAATCAGGCAAGTACTCTAGCTGGCACCATTTGAGGGCTGTGAATGCCAACCCAGCCCTGTGTCAAACAACTCCCTCTCCAGTATGTCCCTGGGAGCTGAAACACCAACTAAGAGCATCATCTCTGTGGATCAGGATATGGATTCCAGAAGCCCCCTGTAAAAATATACACGTTGGAAGAGAAATACATCAACCTATTGAACAGTGTAGATTGGCCAGCTGCGTCCCATGGGAGAAGCCTCTTTTTTTTTTTTTTTTTAATGTTGGGAAAGAAGGTAAGAAAAAGTATGAGACTTATTTGTAATCTCTCTCTCCCATCTCAGAAGCCTGAGAATTATAATCCTTAGTTCAAATATTCTAAGTAGACTACGGAGGGAAGCCACTCCAGCGTCTGAGAGAATACTAACTTCCTTTGCTTTTGCTGGCTTGACACTACGTGCCTGCAACTTCAGCTCCGCTCCTCTCTGGTTATAGCACACTAGCCCTGCTGGCATTCCTGTGCACAATTTTTAAACGATCAACGAATTACTTCCTGTTTGCTGTGTTGATAGGCAAAAACATGTGCTTATGAAACTCGGAAGGTAACACAAGTGGGGAACCCTGGTATGGAGCAGGTCCGGCCCAAAGAACCAGGCCCGGACCAGAGCGCTCGACTCAGCAGTCACACGGCGACAGGCGCCTGGGGAAAGGTAGGACCGGGTCTCCGCCACCTGCCGGCCAGCAGTCCTACCCACAGTCAGAACGCGGCTGCCCTGGCCTGGTCCCAAAAAATGTGAGCGCCGCGAGTTCTCCCGCCCTTCGCCGCCGCGCCCGGCGAGTCGGGAGCCGCGAGGCCGGCGCCTCGAGCCGGGCGAGCTTCCCGGGCGGGCGGGGTGGGAGGAGGAGGGGCGGCGCGGGGCGGGGCGGAGCCGCGGCGCCTCCGGAGCCTTATTCCCGGCCTCCTGCCCCGAGCGCTCAGTCGATCCCGGAGCCGCGCGTCTCTCGGGGCTGGTTGACCTGGCCGACGTGCACAGCTCGGGTGGCCGCGCGAGCCCGCAGCGAGCAGACAGACGCCCGGCGGCCGCGAGCTGCGCGCGGGTCCCAGCCAGCTCGTACCCAGAAGCTGGCAGCAGACGGCGCCAAGGACTCTTCTGTGCGCCCCGCCGCCTGGCTCTGCCTACCCGCGCTCAGGGGCCACCGCCTCCAGAGCGATCGCTGCCTCGCCGTGCCCTGCGGGTCCGGGACCATGAAGCTGCTGCCGTCGGTGCTGCTGAAGCTTCTTCTCGCTGCAGGTAACAGAGCCGCTGACGCCCTCGGAGGTCGGGGGCGGGGGATGGGGGCGCTGCGTGGGGACGTGGGAAAGGTCGCCGCAGCGCCCCGGCGCGGGCCACTTGGTGGGGCCAGTGCGCGCTCGCGGGCGGACGTCAACATCGGTGCGTGGGGGCGCGCGGTCTAGGTCGGGGGTCTGATGTGGCCTTCCCCCCACCCCCGGAACGCAGTGCTCTCGGCGTTGGTGACTGGTGAGAGCCTGGAGAGGTTTCGGAGAGGGCTGGCTGCTGCAACCAGCAACCCAGACACCCCCGCTGGATCTACGGGCCAGCTGCGACCCGCGGGAGGTGACCATGCCCGAGAAGTCGTGGACTTGGAAGGATCAGATCTGGACCTGTACAAAGGTGAGTGCGAGGGTCCCTGCAAGCGTAGTCCACGATAGGCGATTGAAGAATAAGCTGGTCTGAAATTTATACTCTTGGGCCCCCCTGTGGGTTGGGGGATTTTTATGGGAGACCTTAAGGAAAAGCTGATGGGCTGATAGGGGGCTGGGAGATTTAGAAATGTAGGTGCTTTTTTGTTTTTGGGTCTCACCTGCCAGGTGGCTATCCTTGTGGCTGCTTTGGAACAGACTGAAACAAGTAGCTTGTCCTCTGAGCTAAGCTGGGTGGTGGAATAAAGCAGGGGTGGAATGCTTTCCCTAGAATTCCTATGTGAAAATGGGTGCAAATCCTACTTCCCACATCCAATGACTATTAAGTACAAAATAGAGAGAACAGATGTGGAGATGCCCAGACGCAGAACAAATGCGCAGTGTGAGTGTCCTCCATCTGTCTGTCTCTAAGCTGGGGAAAGCGTGAGGAACCCCTACTCCCTACAAGAGACCAGCACCTCTAGAGAAGGCTATGAATGGGGAGCCCTGGGGCCCTAGAGGGTTTTATTGAAATGTGGGGTGTCTGAGTGCTACTCAAAGCCTAGAGACTTCCTTGAACTTCTGAGAAGACTCAAGGGAGTAGGACCATGTGGGTCCCTCTAACCAGCATATGTGCCTGTAGCTGTGCTTGTAGCATAGGGCAGTTACCCAGGGCCTGCTGGAGTCCCTGCCCCTGGCCACCTGCAGTGGTTATCAGGGGTGGGGCAGCACTAAGCCCTGTGGGCCGGAATGGCTATATTTGGTTGGAAAGATACCCACCTGTTATAGCACCACCTCCTGCTCTGCTCTAGCTTTGTGTAAAGTAAGATTCTGCTCCAAAGCTGAGCCTGAGCTCCCACACATCATCCTCTCAGTGGTCTTCGGGATCACCAATGCCCTGGAAAGCCTAGATTTTCCTGGCTGTCTTCTCTTAGGCTGGCCAGGGTTGGGCTGGGCTGTGACTCACTCCCCACCCACATGGCTGCTCCTCATACCTCTGCCGACCTGACTCACTGCTCCCTCTCACAGGAACCTGGCTATTGCCCTGCCAAATTCTCCCTCCCTTTTCTGATTGGCTTGGCCCTCCTGCCATGCTTTTCCTGCAGTCCTGTTCCGTGGGTTCCTCTGACTACCTGCCTCAGCTTCTAGGCTCTCAAGGGGACTGGGCCTAGACAAGGGACCACAGACCTAATCTCAGTCCTACATGATCTCAGGCAAGTCACTGCCTTTTCCAGTCTCGAAGTTTTCACCTTGAAAATGGAAGCCAAAAAAGAAAGAAAGAAAGAAAGAAAGACAGAAAGACAGGCCATGGTGTTTGTTGAAGTCACTTCCAGCGTGACGGTTCTAGGTCTCCAGTCTGATATATTATGCTCAGCCTCTGTCAGACACAGGCTGTAGCTATGGACAGTGGGCACCCTTTTCTTATTGGTAGATTGGGAAAGAGGCTGGCATCAGATCCCAGGACTAATGGGCAGAGTCCATGGTCAGTCCCAGCTGCATGTCTGGATAGGGTTGTTTTTCCCCTGAGCCTCTAAAGCTTGGAAAGAAGGGGACCACCATCATAAGTCCAGTTCCTTCAGGATAATTCCTTACCTTCCCTCTCTATCCCATGTATATATTGTACCCCTCATCCCAGAGAGCTATAGCCAGGAAATCTGGGGATAAATGTAAATGGATCTTTGAGGAAATGGGTAAACTATAGAGTACATAAAGCAGGATAAATATTTTACTTGAATTGGATAGCCAGCTTCCTATTTTAGAGCCAGGGCCTGTCCTGAACTTGTGGTTCCCCGACACAATGAGAACCTCAGTACTAATGGGAACCCCAGAGGAGGGCACAGGAAGACACAGACATTCTTATTTTAGGGTCCTCCCATCCCCAAAACATCCAAATACCGTCTATAAAATACCGTCTTTTTATCCAAATACCGTCTTTTTATCTGTGATACTCTCTTCCTGCAAGTGGGTCACTGCGCACAGCATCAGGAAAGGAGGCTGACTGAAGGCCAAAGTAGAATGGAGTCAGTGTGAGGAGTGGGGCAAGGGTGAGGTTGGTAGTCCTACTCAGCAGGCTGCAGTTACTTGAGGAAGTAGCATTGTTGGAATGAGGGTTTTTTTTTGTGGGTTTTGTTTTTTTTTTATACCAAGAATTGAACTCATGACCTCATGCTTGCCAGGCAGGGGCTATGCTGCTGAGCTATATCCCCAGCCTCCTGGGATGAGGTTCTTAAACCTTCCTTAATTTCAGAGTTCCTTCTGACAGTTCTGCCCGTTCTTCCTTTAGCTCTTAGGGGTGCTGGGCCAAGGCACCTTCCCAGGATTCTGACCTCATTTAGGTAGGGTCAAAGGATGCATAGTCCTTCCAAATACCACACTGCATTGATCTTCCCCTGAGGAGTCTAAAGATTAACAGGTGCCTTTCTCCTACAGTTGATTTTTCCTCTAAGCCACAAGCTCTGGCCACACCAAGCAAAGAAGAGCATGGGAAAAGAAAGAAGAAAGGCAAGGGGTTAGGGAAGAAGAGAGACCCATGTCTTCGAAAGTACAAGGACTTCTGCATTCACGGAGAGTGCAAGTATCTGAAGGAGTTCCGGGCTCCATCCTGCATGTAAGTGTCCCTTTGCAGGGTGGAATCTCATCAGCACACTGTCAGCCACGTGACTACTTCTCAACCTCTGGCGGAAGTTGGGAGGGAGGCAACTATTTTTAGTCAACGGAAGGCCCCACCACCACCAAAGAGGATGCAATTTCCTGTGGTATGGGTTTGTGATGCTCTTTAATCCTTGGGGACATTTCCTGCTTACCCAGAAATGAGCATGTGGCTAGGAGAGCTGACACCTGGAAGTAGGCCCTTCATTTCTGCCTCATGTCCTACTTGGAGGGAGATGCTGGTAGGAAACATAGCACAGCAGGCTTCTGGGTGGAGTGGAGCTCCTGCAGGCAGGTATAAGGTGCATTTGGTCACAGGTTGTGCAGATATGTGCATACTTGGGTGTGTGTGCACAGGAATGAGCAAATGCGGGTTGATTTTAAGGTATCCCAGGACTTAACAGAGAGGAATCATCATGGGGCAAAATGAAAGCCTTCCTCCCTTCTGCCTCACCCCACAAGCACCAAGAGGTGGGGGACATGGAGGGCATTGGCCTTTAGCCATGTAAGTGGGAGAACACATCCTTTGTGCAGGGTTAGGAGGAAATGGAAGACTTTATGTCAGTTTCCTGGGTAGATTTTCATGGGCTAAACCCAAACAGGCATCAGCCCCCAGTCAGGCAGCATCACTCCTTCCCTGGGTAGGAGCGTGGGTGGAGGGGTCATGGGTTCCTTAGCCTCTCCTAGGCCAAGCCCAGCAAGTGGCTGCCTTGGCAGTCCCTCAGGGATGACAGCACTGCCATGCTGTCTGGCAGGCATAATGTCACCACTGTGCCTGAGGCCAGCATCCCACATCAGGCTGCAAACATCCACGCTTTCCTGTGGGCAGGCAGGGTCTGGGGCCCTTGTGACCTGAATACTCTGGAAAGTCGAGGACACTTACATACACACTACTTACTGTCCTGCCTATAAGGCTGGATAGTATCTCTTCTGCCTAGCATCTCTTCAAATATTTTAGTTTGAAACAGGGTCCCATTAAGTTGTGATTTTGAACTTTTGATCCTCCTGCCTCAACTCCTGAGAAGCTGAGATTATAAGTGTTGTGGCCATACCTGGCTTCGTTTTGCTTTTAAAAGCTTTTCTGCCCGGTCTGATCACACATAGCAGAGTTACCTTGTATTTGGCAGTTGGCAGACAGACTCATCTCCCTACCATGTTCATAGTCAATCTGTCCTTTCCTGTAATATCCTTGTCAGAAGCTTGGTATTGGAAGTCGTTTAAGAGTGGCCTAGAAGCCAAGCATGGTGACATGTACTACTGGCTTCCCCAGAGAAGGAGGACTGAGTTGAGGACATTCCAAGCATCCCTGGGTGGGGTTGAGATTTGTGTCTTGCCCAGAGCCAGCATCCACCAAATCAGGCCTAGTGGGGAGGAGCACATGATCCAGAGTTTGAGGCCAGTTTGGGCAACAAAATGAGACTCTGTCTCAAAAAAAAACACAAAAAAACAAAAAACAAAAAAAAAACCACATAGAAAGTCCTCATACCATCCCTCCCAATGTCTTGGGACAGGGCAGGAAATGTTTGTCTTAAATTTGTAAAATGGCATCATTAGCCCAGGATGGAGAAGGTGATTCTGAGGGTGGTCAAGATAGACTGGGGCCAGGAACCTGCGGGGCCACATTGGATGTGGGACTTCTGCTGCTTGACTGAGAAGCCTTGCAAAGCTGCTCTCCTGAAGAGGGGGGCTCAGCTGACCAGCTAAGCTCAGAGAACCTGATAAGTGTCCCCAGGACCACCTCTCCAGTCCTAGGGATAGTGATAGTGATCATAATGGTGCATTTCTCCTTTATCTCAGAGCTTCAGTGTTTACTTATAGAGTTCCAGTAAGATTTTATATAGGCCAGTTGTTATCCTAGAGGACATTTAGGCTTTTACTAGCCTAAGAGCATAGCAATCTAACTTGAAGACTTTATGTCAGCTTCCTGGGCAAATTTTCATGGGCTGGACTAGGATTCTTTGTTTGGTCCAAGTGCCTCCTATCTCCTTTGTATTCAGGGCAAAAAGCAGCGAGAAGACACAGAGCTCCTGGTTTGGGGCAATGTGACATCTGTATACCTACATCTGAGATACTTTGTGGCTCCTTCTTGCCTCCAGACCCTGGAACCACCAACCGGGGTGTGTCCAGGCTGCAGTTTGCGGCTAGTCAGCTTCCTGAACCAGCTCTCTGCAGCCACCATGAGCAGGAAAACCCTTCTACATCAGCAGCCAAAAGTTGCCCACAAAGAGTAGTATCCTGGGACACCAAACTGGCTGCTGACCCAAAAATTGGCTGCAGAGTTCCTGAGGCTGGAGGAAACTTGAGGGCCATTGGAGTGGGGCAGACCCAGTGCTGGAAGAGAGACAGGCTTGGGGATCCACTTGGCCTTGTTGTCCAGGTGCCAAGAAGGGATGGCAAGCCCCATTCTTTTGGCTCCACCTGACTTGGGTGCCTCATTCTGTGGGATATGGGCAGTATGCCCTGTTTTCAGATTGAATAATTATCTATACATAGGTGGAACCTGGCCTTTACAACATGCTTTCATCCATAAATATCTTCTTTGATCTTTTTGTGATACTCTTGTGGGTTGGGTGTTTATTATTTCTGTGTTTTACATGAGGAAACCAAAGCATAAAAAAGTAATGTGACTTGCCCAAGACCACCTGGCTAGAACTAGTAGGAGAACCAGTCTGGAACTTACGTGTTCTCAGGCTCCTCCATTGCATGGTGCCCCCTCCGCCTTCTCAGTAGAGGTAAAGAAATCTCGTGTGGAAGGCCCTTCCGGCCCTAGAGCATTCTTGTGTCTGTTGTAATACAAGTTCTGAAATGGGTCACAGACATAGAGAGGAGGAACGTGTCCTAGTTTGATGGATGCTGGCTCTGGGCAAGACACACGATCTCATCCCCACCCTGGGATGCTTGGAATGTACTCAACCCGCTCATTCCCTGGGGAAGCCAAGAGTTAGCTGCAAAGGGAGGGGGAGGTAGATAATATTAGGATGTTTACATTATTATCTTTTTGAGTCAGGGTGGAGGTGTAGGGATTATGTAACTGAATTTTGGGACTCTGAGACCAAGCTTTATTTCTATCATCTGAGTAACTACCTGTGGGGTTTGAATGATGGGCTTAAAATGCAAAAGAGGCTCAACTTCAGCTCCTCTCTCCCAGGACAGTGTAGTCTCTGAAGTCATGCAGAGTGAGTGCTGTGTTGAATCCCAGGCACTGTCACTCACTAGTTTTATAACTTTAGACAAGTTATTTAACAGAAGTTAAACCTCAACTACTTCGTCTTTAAAATGAGACTAATTGGCTGGGTGTGGTGGCACACACCTGTAACTCAGCATTTGGAAGGCTGGGCTAAGAGGATCACTGTAAGTTCAAGGCCAGCCTGAACTATGTAGTGAGAACTTGTCTCAAAAAACCAAAAAAATAAATTAAATTAAATGGAGATAGTAACTTCTGCTTCACAGAGATGGTTTTGAGATTTATGAACTCATGAGGCTCTGGGTTCAACACCTGCACCAAAACAAGCGAATGAGTGAGATTTTATGAAGTAGTTCTTGTGAAGCAGTTAGCTTGGAGTACTTGACTCGTGATAAGCCTTTAATGCTTGCTATTTATTATTAAAGCTATGAATATATAGTAGTAGTAGTAATAATAATAATAATAACAACAATAATGCAGTCAGAGAGCAGGATCTGACAGTTTCAGGAACCTATCAGAGCATATGTTACCTGGACTGTTTAGAGCAGAAGAGTCATGAATTTAGAATCTGCTAAGAGTGGTTTTGGGTCTTTGCCCTGCTGCTTCTTAGTTGTGAAGCTTGGCAAATCACTTAACTTCTCTGGCCCCTGATCCCTATGCACAAGTGACTTCCCAGGGACACTCCTAGGAGCTTCCTCCAAGTCTTAGCAGGTTGGGGGTCATCTTTCTACCGCCTGAACTGATGGGACAGATGCACAGGAGGGTGGATAAGGGACTGTATACTATCCCGTGTGACAGTGAGTCTGCCCTACATTTATTCTGCAATGAGGTGGTCCTTAGAGCACCCAGGAAGAGCTGGGCAGGGAGATGCAAGGGCAAGAATGCAGGCGCAAGGATGCAGAGACCCCTCTGCCACTGCCAGGTCTGGGCAGGTCTACTCCTCATAGCACCCCTGATGCCTGACAGCAGGAAGAAGGAATTCCTTGCCAGGAGGAGGGCACACACCTTCCTTTCTAGAAAAGCTGTAGCTCAGAAGAGAGGCCACCGAGTTCTCAGTGCTTCTTCCTCCAGCAGCTAGCGGCCTCCTATCCTCAGACTGATGGTGTTACCACCCACTGTGGCCGGTGGCTAGGCTTGTGGATGTGAGAGGGCAGCAGGCTGAGCTCAGGGTCAGAAAATCCTTATCTGTGCTTCTGTACTGTTGTGTGACCTTGAGAAGCCACTCAACCTTTCTGTAGAGTGGGACTCCCACTTACATCAAAGGGTCTCAGATGTTTCGCTAAAGGGAAGGATGTGAATATACTTCTTCAGCCTGGAGTCTTTGTTTTTTGAGACAAGATTTCACTATGCAGCTCAGGCTGGCCTTGAACTCACTTTGTAGGCCCCAGGCGGGCCTCGAACTCACAGTGATCCTCCTGCCTCAGCCTCCTGAGTTCTGGAATTACAGGCGTGCACCACCACTCCCAGCCAGCCTGGAGTCTTTCTAAGAGCTTCAGGGAAATGCTTTGTATTAGAAGAGGCAGTTGCCGCATGATTTGATTCTTGAGTGACAAGAGCCAAGAGATTTTTTTCTGACACTCTTTTATGCTCTGGCAAGGCAGCTGGACAGTAAGATGTTATCTTGGTTTGTTTGCTTTGTCCTTTGATGAAGGAGGCCTGATAGCCCAGCTTCTACAGGTCAGAGATTATACCTAAGCTACCAGGTTGGGCCTTGCTCCAAGGGGGAGCTGAGAGTTAAGTGAAAGAAATCTGAGGAAAAGAACTCCTGGCAAAGGAACAGGGCCTATTAATAGGCTGGGCAGTGGTAGGGAGGGACTGGACGCTTGAGGCAGTGATGGGCAAGGCTGGGTTTATTTCTGGGTCAGAATGTTGAGGGGCCTCACTACAGGGAGTGATATTGAATCCCCTCAACTCAACGCACCAGCCCTTGAGCCCAAGGCCTCTTAAGAGGCTCTAACTTCTGCCTTAGCACACATATAATGAATCAGCCACACATGGTCGTATCTGTACTGAGACCTTTAAGTCCTCTCTTGCTTTTTCCCTCCACCTGGAGCAGGACTCTGGGGCCAGAGAGCTGGAAGGAATGGTGTGTGGGGTTGTTGAGTGAGGGAAGGAAGCTATGGAGCATTCAAAGGAGGTGATAAATAGGTTTGGTTTACGTAGGTGAAGGAGCTGGGGAGAGAAAGAGAGTGCAGACCACTAACCCTGCTTCTTTATTCTGTCTTGAACTAGTTGCCACCCAGGTTACCATGGAGAGAGGTGCCATGGGCTGAGCCTCCCAGTGGAGAATCGCTTATATACGTATGACCACACTACGATCCTGGCTGTGGTGGCTGTGGTGCTGTCGTCTGTCTGTCTGCTCGTCATCGTGGGACTTCTCATGTTTAGGTGAGTGTTGGGGGGCCCCAGCCGGCTGTTTTGGCATGTCACTCCCCTTCCTCCTTCTCCTGGGTCTTCCAAACTCTTTGCAGCTGAGTTCCAAAGAGACCACACGAACCCCATTCTCTTGCCTCACATCTGGAGCTTGTTCCTAGATGTGGCTTCTCCACAAACCTAGTTTCTCTGGCATGACCCAAGGCCAGTGTCTAGAGCCCAGGGTAGCCCTTGCCAGGGCTAGCACTGTGACGATAGACCACAGTGATGTGTGTGACCCAAACCCAAAGTGCTGACACTGAAATTAAACTTGAATACTGAGGGTTTTGTTTAGAAAAAACAACTCATGCATTAACATCTCTTGTCTTAAAAGAAAAACAAATAGCACACACTGCATAGGTTCACCACCACTGCCCTGGCAGCTTCTGCCCCTCACACATTTTTCTCTTCATACATTTTCCTCACCTGGCTCTGTTCTCTGATGGCATTAGTGTATGATCTGGCAGGGAAGGCATGGTGGTGCTATTAGTATATCCTTTTAATTCTGAGGCATTTGGACCTCCGGCCAGACTTCCAGTCCAGTTCTGTTCTGGGTTGAGAAGAACTATTAAGCACCCTATGTCTGTTTTCAAGCTACTCAATCCATTGTGAAACCTAGAACAAGTTGCCTGTCTTTCTGACAGGGATTGTACACTCTGTCAGGGATTGTACACTCTGTCCCTCTACCTTATAAAGCTCTTGTGATGATCAAATTCATGATGTGAAAGCTCTTTGTAAAATGTAGCCTGCTACTGGGTGTGGTGGCACATGCCTGTAATCCCAGCATTTGGGAGGCTGAGCCAGGAGGATTGCCTCAAGTTCAAAGCCAGCCTGGACTACATAGCTAGCTAGACCTTGTCTCAAAACAAAACACACATACAAATATAGCCTGCTGTTAGAGACAGGCATCTCTCAGGGAAGCTGGGCTTTGACCAGAAATCTGTGTCATTCCTCTGGGCTTTTCCGTGTAATGGAGGGAGCCATCATGGCAGAGTTTTTTGGAGTGACCTGCTCCGGGACCTGTACTTTATCTTAGCAAGCAGGTCTTGCTCACAAAACTTCTCTTCCTCAGGTACCATAGGAGAGGAGGTTATGATGTGGAAAATGAAGAGAAAGTGAAGTTGGGCATGACTAGTTCCCACTGAGACAGACCTTTGCTCAAGGTAATGGTTCATCCTTTGCCCCTAGTAATACCAAGGGGCCAAGGCATGAGTGGCTCTTGGGTCTCTTTCAATGAATGCTGAATTCTGCTCTTCCCTCTGGGCTGAGAATCAGCATCCAATGGCGAGTTAGTTACAGAAAGACTGCTGGAGAATCATGACCAGGTAGGATGAAGTTGTTGGAGTTACCTGAGAGCACAGCTTCTTCTGTGGTTAGCCCTTGTTCTCCCTCCTTTTCCTAGATGACCTTTTCACTTCTTAAGATTGTCTTCAGAGGCACCTAAGACCTCCTTAGACCAGACCCAGCTTTAAATGCTTTCCTCTTATGCTTCAGGAATCAGCGGAGGACAGCTACCTCTGAGAAGCCACAAGTTGCTTGCCAGCTCCACAGAAGGAAAGGACTTCACAACTAGCCACGGAGACTTCTCCATGTCCAGTTGCTATCTTGATTGGGCCTCCCATAATTGCTTTACCAAAATACCAGAACCTTCACGTGCGAAACAGAGTATGTCCAGTGGGATCTGGATCCACGGAAAGTGGAAGTGTGTGGCATCTTCAGGACCTTCTGATTTTCCCCACCAAACCCACTCCTCTCTCGATTTAAAAAACATTTAAATACTTATCTTCTGGATTAAAATCTCGGTTAAATTTCATATGCTCCAGGATCTTTGACTGAAAGTACAAAAAAGAGACAGAAAAGCATGAAAGATTTGTGGACTGGAAGAAAGCAACAAAGGCTGAGAAGCCATGCACTCAAGTAGCCACCAACGGACCTGTAACTTGGACCCTCCGGAGCTGGATTTGATGAGCTAACTGTGAAATACTGCAAGCCCAAGAACTCTGAATTTTGGGACTTCTACCCAGATGAAAAAAATAACAACTATTTTTTGTTGTTTGTTTGTTTGTAAAATGCCTCTTAAATTATATATTTATTTTATTCTATGTATGTTAATTTATTTAGTTTTTAACAGTCTAACAATAATATTTCAAGTGCCTAGACTGTTACTCTGGCAATATCCTGGCATCCCCACCGTCTGGCTCAATGCTGTACTCCCCTGTGGCAAATCTGAGATCCTCTGTGACCCATCTGTTTCTGAAGATCTCCCAGGATCAGAGAGCCCCAAGGAGAGTTCTGATGGTTGGGATGTAAGAATTAACTTGGTCAGAGCCGCTCCATGAGTCGGACTGCAGTCTCGCCTAGGCAGTTTTGTCTACCATTTGTGTTTTGAAAGCCAAAGGTGCTGATGTCATAGTGTAACAGATATCAGTGTTTCCCTGTGTCTTCTCCCTGCCAAATCTCAGAAGAGGCTGGGTGTCCACGCCTGTAGCTTCTCTGACTCCCCCCCACCACCCATCCACAGAGTGGGCACGCGGTCTGCCTTGTGTCAAGACATTTCTCTCACTCCTGCCATTCTGGTGCTGCTCCATGCAGGGTCAGTGCAGCAGAGGACAGTCTGGAGAAGGTGTTAGTGAAGAAAATGCTGAGGAGGAACAGGGAAAATTGGAGTTAACTGTTCCTGATAAATTGGTTAATTCCCAATTGCTAAGGAAAAGATTAGAAGTAGGGGAAGCTGTGGGTAACCCCACCGCATCACCAAAACTACCAAGGAGTGCTGTCATGGTCTCTTCTGGAAGTTCTTGGTGCCATTTTTGAACTGTTACAGCCTGTGTTTCCAAACCTGGTTCATATTTATACTTTGCAATCCAAATAAAGATAACCCATTCTCCATAGTGTGCTTGTTTATTCATTTATTTATTTTTTTGAGAAAGAATAGTACTATGTAGTCCAGTTTGGTCTGAATTACGTAGTCCAGGCTGGTCTGGATTCATTATGTAGCCCAGGCTGGCCTCAAACTCACAGTGATCCTCCTGCCTCAGCCACCTGAGTGCTGGGATTACAGGCATGTGCCACCACACCTGTTGATAGTCTGCTTATTTTAACTGGGAACTGGTTTAATATGGTTCTTTCCTAAGCCATTTCTCTTTCTTTCTTTCTCTTTCTTTCTTTCTTTCTTTCTTTCTTTCTTTCTTTCTTTCTTTCTTTCTTTCTTCCTTCCTTCCTTCCTTCCTTCCTTCCTTCCTTCCTTCCTTTCTTTCTTTCTTTTTTTCTTTCTTTCTTTCTATCTTCTTCCTTCCTTCCTTCCTTTTTCTTTCTTTCTTTTTTTTTTTTTTCCAGTACCAGGAATGAAACTCACAACCTTGCGCTTGCCAGGCAGGTGCTGTACTGCTAAGCTAAATCCCCAGCCCCTCCTTTTTCTTTCTTTCAAAGAAAGAGAAACAAAAAACAACAAAAAAAACCCCACAAATTTCCAAAAAAATATGATAAGAGGGTAACAATGGTTAATACATTGCATATTGTTATCTTTAAATTACTCAAAGTATGAGATATCAGCATTTAATTGTCCAAACAATATTATCACAGACCTATCTTTTCAATGAACTGAGAGAAATTAGTAGTATAGCTATCTTAACTATCTTTTATGTATATATATTTTTTTTCCCTTTTGCTTTTTCCTTCTTTTTTCCCCATTCCCCCAAACCAGTATCTCTTTCCTTTTGACGTTTCTTCCCATTTTACAAGATCGGGCCGGGGATATAGCCCAGCAGCACAAGCTCCTCCCTGGCAGTGTAAGGTCCTCAGTTTGATTCACGGTACCAAAACAAACAAACAAAAACACTCTACAATATCTATTGTACATTTTGGATCACATTTACTCCTTCAGTTTCTCATACTGGGGAGACAATGCAATGTTTGCACGTTTATGTCTGATTTATTTCATTTATGAAATGAAAGTCATTTCTTGATGTTGGGCTCTGTATCAGGCATGTTTATGTACACTATCTCAGTATTCTCAATAACTCTGTAATAAAGGCACTGCATTTTTCCAGAAGTGGAAACTAAATTTCAAGCAGATAATATAACTACTTGAGGGTACACAGTAACTCCAGTAATTATGTCTTAATATGTAACACCATACTACCTCTAAGGTAAGAAAGAATAGACCTTTGCCATTTGAAGTTTGGCTGGCCGTAACCAGCAAAGACACACTCTTTCAGTCAGCAGGCCCTGGACTCAGAATTTAATCCTGGGCTGTATACAAGTGAACAGGCATTCCCCTCTCACGCTCCATTAGTCAATCCATCAGCAAATCTTGTCAGTTGTATTTTTATTTTTATTTTTAGTTGTACCTTCAGAACACATGCAATACAGTCATTTTCCCTGCTTCTGCTATCATCTAGTCCCGTGCAACATCCCTCCTATCTGGACTCCTACGATAGCCTCCTATCTTCCTAGTGGCACCTTGCTTCCATATAGCCTTTCCCCCACATGATAGCCAGGTAAAAATGTAAAACATAATTCATATTATGGATAGCTCAGTGATAGACTTGGATACTTAGCGTACAAGATGTCCTGGGTTTGATCTCTACCATCACATATACAAATATAATCCAGGTCTTATCTGTTTGATAGGCCTTCCCTCACCACAATATTATACATTACAGTCCTCTGTTCTCCTTACAGTGCTTTATATTTCCCTACAACCCTAATCACCAGTAACATATTCCCATTTTTTTTTTTTTTTTGTCCATCTGCACCTGTTAGACATGAAGATCGGGGTATGTTCATTGTTCTAATCCCAGATTCTTCTCTTTCTCCTTCTCCTTCTCCTTCTCCTTTTCCTTCTCCTTCTCCTTCTACTTCTCCTCCTCCTCCCCATCCTCTTCTTTCTCCTCTTTCTCCTTCTCCTCTCCCCCTCCTCCTTCCCCTTCCCCTATTCTTTCCCTTCCTCCTGATTCTACTTCCTTCTGTTCCTCCTCTCTCTCCTCCTCCTTTTTTTTTTTTGTGTGTTTTTTTTGTCTGATTTTTTTAAAGACAGGGTCTCACAATATAGTTCAGACTGCCCTTGATCTCACCCACTATGGCCTCAAACTCATTACAATCCTGCCTCAGTCTCCTGAGTGCAAGTGCCACCATACCCAGATCCAGATTCTTAAACGATATAATTGAGTTGGGCATTCAGTATTTGTCAAATGAATATAAGAATTAAAATTCAGCCCAGGTGTGGTGGTGCAGCCCTGTAATCCTGGCACTTGGGAGGCTGAGGCAGGGGTCCAGACAGAGAGACAAATTCCCATATCCAATTTGTCTCTCTGTCAAGACCAGCCTGCGCTACATAATGACTTCAAGGTCAGGGGAACTACATAACAAGACCCTGTCTTAGAAAAACAAAAGCTAACCCCCTCAGAAAAATTAAAATCCTATTCAGGTGGGCAAGTGGGCAAATGCAATCAGTGGGATTATAGAGAGGCTTTTTTTGGGAAGGGTGGACTGACATCCTTCCCAGGAAAACAGGATGGAAGTGGAAACTGGGGCTTATCACATGGCCTAGTGTCCTGGGTGTGCTGGAGGTAATGAGAGCCACTGGGAGGCCACGCACAAGAGCCTCTGGGGAGCCCTTCCTCATCTTCATCCTCTTTTCTTGGAGAGTTGTAACATTCTGAAGTTTCTCCAGGGCCCACACAGACATCTTGTATGTCTTTTAGTTATCCTTTCGGATATCCTTTGGGTGGCAGTAACTACCAAACCTGAGCATATGAATACCCCAGAACCCTGCAGTTCACTCCTGGGCATGCACACAGAGAAATACCTTTGTTACCAAAAGATGTGTCAGAGTGACCCTTGCATTGCTTACAATGGCTAGAAATTGGAAACCATCCAGATATCCACCAGTACTTGATTATGAAATGAACAAATAAACTCTGATATATGAAGACAATGAAGTACTACGTAGCAATATGGAAGAATCTCAAACTATTGCTAAGTAAGAGAAACCAGACAAAAATGAGTCCATTTTGTGTGAATCCATTTATATAAAACTTAAAGGCAGGCAAAATTAATCTATGGTGAAAAAAATCAGCAAGGAGATCCCTGCTGGGATTGGTGGTGCCTGGAAGTAGGCAGAGGTGGGACTTCTGGTATACTGATGATTTTGCCATGCTCTGGGGCTCATTACACAGGTGTATTCACTTTGAGAAAATTCACCAGGTATGACTTGTGCATTTTTCTGTATTATACAATGCATGTAATAACAAGATTTTTAAAGACTTGGATAGGGACTCTTTGCTATTGCATTTTAGATGATTCTGTAAAGGATCAATGTCTGAAGTTAGCAATCAGAGAGTAAGGATATCAGAGATAACTGTGGAGCACTGAGTTCCTTTAAACTGTCTGTGGGCCTCCCTTTGCTGTTGCAAGCTCCCATCTCAGGTCTTTACACTTGGCTGGGCTTTTCTGGTCATGCTTTGTTTCTCCAGCAATGCTTCCTGCAGACTAAGGGCTTCCTGTCTCTCAGCTGCTCTCTCTTACTGCCTCTGTTGCTGATGAGAGTTCCCATTGGAGGTCCTTTGGGTTTCTTTCTGGTTGATACAGTGGCCCTTGGAGCCTTTGAATCCATAGCCCCTTCTCAAGATTGGCCATCAAAGAAAGTGGCCCCCTCTGCCCTGAAAAGCATCTATCTTTTCTCTGTAGACTCCTCTTACAGTCTCCTTTGAGATACTTTCTTTTACAATACAATGGCCATAATAATCATGATTAGGTTAATAATTTTTTTCTTGCAGTGCTAAGGATGGAAGCCAGGGCCTTGAATATGCAAGGCAAGTGATCTACCAGTGAGCTATATCCCCAAACCAGAATAATAAATATTCAATATTCATGAAGTAGGGGATATAGCTCATTGGTAGAGCACCTGCCTGGCAAGTGCAAGGTCCTGAGTTCAGTTCCTGGTACCAACAAAAAAAAAAAAGAAAGAAAGAAAGAAAAATGAAAAAGTGAATGGTTTAAATATTCATGAAATGCTCACTATATATAACCCCTCCTTCAACTGCACACTTTACAGGCACTATTTCATTTACAACTCATCACAACCAGGGAGCTAAGTGCTCTTACTGTACTATAGCAGTATTATAGGTGAAAAAAGTGAGGCTGAGAAATGTTGGGTGATATACTCATGCTTAAGGGGGTAAAAGCAGGATGTGAACTGGGGAAACCTAACTCCTAAGCCTGCTCTCCAACCACTAAGCACACACACTCAAATGAGTTTTCTGGGCCAAACTGGTTTTTTCTTTTTCCCATATCCAAAAATAATATAGTAAAAAAATCATATGACAAAGATTTACTGTAATTCCTTAGAGCTCAAGAGTTTCTTCTCCTGCGCTCAGTTTACAAATTCATGAAAAAATGCCCCAAAGTGGCTTATGAGGCACAGCAAAAGGGACAGGCGTGCAGGCTGAACTAAACCTGGGTCGGAGTCCAGCCTCCACTGTTTATTTGGAAAGCACCTTTGTGCACGACACCTAGCCTCTCTGAATTTGCCTCTCTGCCTGGACCCCAGGATGGGGTTTATCTCTGGAATTGCAAAAAAAAATTTTAATTAAGACAAATAAAAATTTCATCCTCAAAGAGTTGCAAAAACTGTACATGTGAGTAAAATGCCTGGTTCTGGCCCAGCTATATGCTACATAAGAAGTAAATGTTGGTTACCATAAGTGACCTGTACAAGGAGCTAATTAGTTGCTGTGCTTGATGGTGCACACCTGTAATCCCAGAACTCAGGAGGCTGAGGCAGAAGAATCACAAGTTTCGAGGCCAGCCTGAACTGTACATGGAGACCCTGCCTCTAAAAAAAAGGAGCTAGTTACTGGCACCGTTAAAACCCAGGCCTCTGATTGCC